TATTTATTTCACAGATTTGTGTACATATTCAAAAATATGTAGCTCTTAGATGGTAGATTCAAATGATGTGGTTCCAATTTTTCTGAGTTCATGATAATGTCTAGTATTTAATAAAAGTATTATATGAGCACATGTTTTAGAAATTTTGGATGAATTAAATAGAACTTTGAGATGTGTTTTTAGATGCATGCAAACTTGTTTGAATTTTATCTTGAGTTTCTATGGTTCAAAAATTATGAAATTTTGTGGGTAATCTTTTTTTGCTTAGTATAAGCTCTGGTTAAAATTTCAGAGCTAGTGCATATGTAGGTTTTGAGTTATAGAATTTCCTTTTATCAATGGATGGATCTTGTGTGAATTTTCATAATTTTTCTATAGATCCAGTAAAGGTAACATTTGGTGAGTGCTATTCTTATGCTTGAATGATACTATGAAAAATATGAAATCTGTTGCTTGACACTTTTCATTAGGGTTTCCTAATTATGCTAGAAATAGACATGCCACATGTTATTTTGGATACAGCAAGTTCTGCTTGCCCAATGGCTTTGAAATTTTTATGGTAGTCTATGTGAAGCATGATATAGCTACTGTAATTTTTGTAGATTTTTCTGAACAGCTTTACTATATATTGCTTTAATCACCTAATTAACTAAATAAATTAGAAAAAGATATTAAATAATTTATTTAGAAGTTGGCACTATACTTTCTGGTGTTCTTGTGATATGTGTGATAAAGTCGTAAAGTTGGTTTTGTCTGTTTATGTGTTTCCCACATAAGTTAATAATTATTTCTTTTTGCATTATGTCCTTCTGGACAGATTTGGGGACTTTATAAAGTTTCCTATGACAATTTGGTTTTCTGTGAATGTGATGAATACCAAAGTTGTGGATAATTTATGTATCTAGCTCCTGTCAAAATTTGAGGACATTTGGCCCAGTAGTTTAGAAACTACAGCTGTTTAAAGTTAGGATTCCAGTTTTGCTTACTCTCTGTCTTGTGAGGATAGAGTTCTGTTGATCAAAGAATTCGACCTGGTAAAGGGTTGAATCATGCTTTGATGTTTACAAATTATTTGTAGATAATTTCATAAGATTTCCAGAATGTCCTCTTGCAAGTCATTTGGATTTGTAGAACTCTTGTTGTGATTGAATTAAGGAACTACCCGTTTGCATATGAAGCTTTAACTGTTGTTTTAAGTATGCCTTTACTATTTCTAAGTTTGTGGTAATGTTCCTAGGTGTTAGGCCTTTAACTGAGGATGAGCATCTTTATCTTAGGCTATGCAAGTTAGGTAAGTTGATCTTGTTCTTCAAGTTAAGTTAGATACCTGTTTTAAAATGATTTGAATAGAGCTATTCTTAATCGGTAAACGAGTGTCCAGTAATGTTTTCGTTAAACACTTACTGTGATTCATTCATCATGAGCATCATGTCATTCCTTATGCATCCATGATATTTATCTTGTGCATCGGCATGCAATAGGTGTACCGGAAGGAGTGACCCTGCTGGAATTCGAGGAACCGAGCGAGCAGCAGCAGCCGACACCGGAAGTTCAGGAGGTGCAGCCTTCAGAAGAAGTGCCAGACGAGGTCGCCGTTGAGTGCCCGGATTACCGTCCGTGCAACTTTGTGAAAGGCAAGCCCCGGAGCATATTAAGCCTCCTAATTTTCGAAATGCAGTTACAGTATTATTGTTACATATATATATTGTTGCATTAAGTTTAGGTGTTGGATGCAAACACTTGCTGCATTGGTTATCTAATCCTTGTCCAGATATTGATACCCTGAATCCTATGTAGCTCAGGCTCGTGTAGTGCTTAGCCCTGCTCAAACATGGTAGAAGTCGGGTGATTTCCTGTCACCTGCGAGATATAGGAAGATACATATGGCACGGTTGGCTATATTTGCTATCGTGGAAAAGAACCAGTCTTAATTTGAAATGAAGACCAGACGGAGGCTTGCCGGTTTGCAGTGACTCCGTCTGTGTCGATTAAGGACTGAATCTTGGAGCCTTTCCTGTTCATATTGAACGCATGCCTCTCTCTTAGTTGGCCGTGTCCGATGACCGACCGCGAAGCCGAGTAGCTCACCTCAGGCCAGGAGTCGATAAGTATAAAGTGCGCCTCGAAAGGAAGCCGTAGGCGTGAGTCCAAGGGCAGGTGATTTAAAAGTCCTGATCGTCCTGGCAGAAGGGTAATCCCTGAGAGTGCTGGCGCTGATCGAACCCGCGAATTTGGTTCCTGAGTTGTTCCAAAGGTGACCCACGGCTACCCTTGCTAAGTATGCCAGGGTGAGAGTTAGGAATACCCCCTCAGCTGAGTTGTAATTCGATTCGAGTCGCCATCTCTCCCGGTTAGTGAGAACTTGATGGGCTTATCTCTAATGTAGATACACTTAATAACATAAAGGTTCGGAAATGATGATATGATGATGGCAGCCTTATTATACCTGCTATGGTTAATATTATTTGCTCCTAATAAGTGAGTGCTCTAGTACAGGTGCTAATCTAGTGGACAGGTAAATGATGATAAGCTTGATGCTAAGTTTAAATTGGTTACTATAATCATAAGCTCTTTTATGCAACTATGTCAAGCTAGCCCACCTCATAAGCCTTGCATGATCCTTGGTGTCTTTTATTTCTGGTTTTGTCGGGTAAGTCTAGCTGAGTACCTTCTCGTACTCAGGGTTTATCTCCCTCCTGTTGCAGATGACCAGTTCTACTTTGGTTGCTACAAGTACTGTCTTATCCCAGCTGGGGATGAAGACTAGACCGTTGGACGCGGTCTCTACTAGTTCTCGTACCTGATAATGCTTTTGTGGGACATGACTCAGACTTGGCAATGTATTTGAAACTATGAAGTTATGTATTAAACTATGTTGCTTCCGCAAATTTGAACCTGGTTTGTAATATTTTATTCGCACTCTGATGGATGTAATCCGAATGCCACTTATGAAATGTTGTAACGGATGATGTGTTGTGTTGAATCACTACGGTCTTGGTTTGTATGTCGAGAGTTGGTTGGAATCCTTCGTGATTTCCGGACTACCGAGATTATGGGAGCTTAAGTACATGAATTTGATCGCTTCGGTGATTGTTTTTGTACTTACGTTCTTATGATTTGGTCGGTTCTGTTACAGTGTACGTGAAGATGAGATGGTAAAGGATAATAGATTTGTGTTTGTGGGCTTGTGGCAGCTCTAACCTTAATTACCCGTCTAGCTAATTGGGAAAAGCAAGACCACATGTATATGTACCCAGACGATCTATTGTGGTCGTCAAATGGCATCAAGATTCGCGCGCTTCGCTTCTCCTCGACACCTCTCACGCTCGTGCCTCGTGGGTTTGTTCCGTGAGCACGACCACCTCCACCGGCAAAGGGCGTGTTTGGATAACGCCCTCGTCTGGGCTTGCCTGCCAGTCAAGCGATCGTGGCCCCAGGCGATCGAAATCCAACGCCTGGGTGGTTGTCACGACGGAGCTGCTGGGGGCGAGATCCAAACAAGCCCTTTGTCCCCGACTCTCGCACCCCCTCGGCGTCCACTTGCCCCCCCGCCGCCTGGCCTCCACCGCCCCGTCGCCGCCCTCCCCGGGTCAGCGAATCTTGACGCCCACTCCCGGCCATGATGACCCGTGTGGCCACACGAGTATGTGGGAAATCCACATTCTAGCTAATGAGATGGATATGCTCCAAGTGGACCGTGGCACATGGCCACGCGGTCCAATACTGTCCCTCGGGCGATGAATATGCTCCAGTAGATGCTTACATGCTACGGGACTCTTTAGGGCCGGATTCCATTTTTCAGCTTCGCTCTCAACTTCAAGTAGCCAAACAAGAATAGCTTTATCGGTTTTGACTCCAAGTGGTTTTGACTCTTGAGTTTTAGCCAAACAAGAATGGCTCTCAACTTCGTTAGCCAAACAATTGGTTTTGATTTCAAAACGTCACTTTTAGGGCTCGTTCGGTTAGCTCATTTGAGGCCCAGGAACTATTTCAGGTTTACTTGCTTATACAAATTAAGCTAAATATTCCGGCTGGATTCTTTCCACGGAGTCATTCCCTGACAAATGAACACAACCTTACTTTGTGACATATCCAAGTGGTTTTGACTCTTTGAGTTTGCACCATGAAGCATGGTGATGCCTTATTGAATAGCGTTAATTTTGGCACACTGAAATTTCACAACTGCAAACGTCTAGAAAAAGGTTTCGGGAGAACTTCCAGATCATAAAATATCTATCTTTACACTGTGAGAGTATGATATTTATTACAGCACCATTTATATATCCTTACACAATAAATAAATAACTTAATTAAAAAATGATTGCACTTTAATTCACCATCATCATTTTATAGTAGTAAACAAGCTAGAACAAGACGACACTGACTGACGGACGACATGGATGGGGCATCCAATCCAAAATAACAAACAGGAAATAAATGATAGAACTCGATCAAGAAAGATAAAGGAGTAGAAACCATATCCGTTGTTACGTAAGTAGTCTTCCCGCCGCCACCACCACCAAAAGAATCATAAGGTACTTACGCCGTGTTTAGTTCACCTCCAATATCTAAAAAGTTGCTACAGTACTTGTCACATCGAATGTTTTCGGCCCATGCATGGAGCATTAAATGTAGACGAAAAGAAAAACTAATTGCACAGTTTGGTGGGAAATTACGAGACGAACGTTTTGAGCCTAATTAGTCCATGTTTGAACACTATTTGCCAAATAAAAACGAACGTGCTACAGTAGCCCAAAATCCAAAATTCACGACCTAAACAAGGGCTTATTATACCTATGAATCCTCAGTCTCATTGATTGTTGTGCTCACAATGCAATTAACTACTTGTTCAACAGATTACTAACGACATTGAATATAATAATGGTGATCCATGTATGGAGTATGAACCCCCACTCTTGAAGCTGAAGAAGCAAGAAGTTTCATCGTCCTTGCCTGAGCCTATCGAATCGAAGAATGAATCGCGATGCGTATGAAGTGGATCACATCATAGGTCCATCGATCGTGAGGTCCTTGAGGAAGCCGTACTTCTCCATGAAGGGGTTGGAGACGTCCTTGAGCGGGTACAGGTGGATGCAGTCCTTCCAGACGCCGGCGTCGGTGGCGGGGTTCTCGACGACCCAGACGCAGCTGTTGCACTTGAATCCGGCGCCGAAGGTGACCATGAGCACGCGGTCGCCCTTGCGCAGCCGGCCCTGGGCCTCCATGTAGCTGAGCACGTACCAGACGCTGCTGGCGGAGGTGTTGCCGAAGCGGTGCAGCGTCATGCGGGAGGGCTCCAGGTCGTGCTCCGTGAGCGTGAGCCCCTTGCCCACGCCGTCGATGACGGCGGCGCCGCCCGTGTGGACGCAGAAGTGGTCGACGCCGGCCTTCATGCGGATGGTGAGGTGGTTGGACGACTTGGACCCCCGCTTGCGCGCGAGGCGCGCGGAGAAGGTGGCGCAGGTGAGGCGGAGCAGCTCCGGGAGCGGCAGCACCTTGGGCGCCAGCACGCGGAGGTTGTGGATGAAGGCGTGCACGGCGGCGCGCGGCAGCTCCTTGCCCAGGTGGAACCCGGGGCGGCCGGCGTCGTCCTCCATCTGGAGCGCGCAGTTGTAGGCCTCGTCGGAGGCGCCCGTGTGGGTGCGCACCACGTGGCGGAGCCGGAGCTTGGCGTGCGCGCGGAGGCGCGGGTCGTTGCTGAGGAAGTAGGCGCAGCCGCCGGAGCGGAAGAGGCAGTTGCCCAGCATGAAGGATTTCTTGTTGCCAGCGTACCAGTTGGGCGCGATCGACTCCGACGTCATCACCAGAGCCACCTGACCCGCGTGCGTACTGCAATGCATCCATGACAACACATGCATCAAGATCACATATTTTTATTTAGCCCTCGTTCAGTTTCTCCGCAAAAACTTTACACCCTATCACATCGAATATTTGGACACATACAAAATATTAAATATAGACTAAAAACATAATTAATTACACAGATCGTGACTACTTTACGAAACGAATCTTTTAAACCTAATTAGTCCAAGATTTGACAACAAAAATGCTACAGTACATATGCTGATGATAGATTAATTAGGCTTAATAAATACCGACAAATTCTATAATTTGTTTTCTATTAGTATCGAATATCCCATGCGCATGCGACGCAACATGTAACGTCCCCGAAAATTTACTCCTGAATCTGAACATCCTAATTTAGGCCTTGTTTAGATTGCAAGTTTTTTCACTCTCTCTCCATCACATCAAATCTTTGGATACATGTATGGAGTATTAAATGTAGATAAAAAAACTAATTATATAGTTTAATTGTAAATTACGAGACGAATCTTTTGAGCCTAGTTAAACCATGATTGGATAATAATTATCAAATATAAACGAAAGTGCTACAGTACCAAATCCTGAATCCTATCCCTGATCTACACAAGCCTCAGATTTTGAGGCGGCACAGACAATTGGCATATGTTGAGGTAGGTTGTCGATGTCATTATGATCCAATTCCAGACATGAGAGTGAAACCGATCTACCGAACACATCCCATCAACCATTTGTTCCACCACAGCCCAGCCCTCTGAGTGTGTGCGGCTCATTTCACTACGAACACACAAGGGCGGCGAGGCGGCGACCCCCCTATGCACACTGCCCACACCATTGTCATGCAAGATGAGCGACGACACCTCACACCTCCTAGTGGTTTGCAAGTACAGTACTTGTTCGGACAAACCACGTTTCGTTCTCTGAATCCACCGTCATGCAATATTAAATATTTTCCACTCCTTAAAGTTTAGTTCTTATTCTATCAGATATTTAGATACATGCATAGAGTATTAAATATAGACTAAAAAAAACTAATTGCGACTAATTTACGAGACGATTTTTTAAACCTAAGTAGTTCATTATTTGACAATGTGGTGTTACAAAGAAAGCTACAAAGATATATATGATAATGCCAGATTAATTATGTTTAGATCCAAAGCATGTAAAGTTTCGGGATGTCAAGTCGGATGTTACATGGGGTGTCGCGTAGGGTGTTTGATACTAATAAAAAATAAATTATAGAAATCCGCCAAGAAACCGAGACGAATTTATTAAGCCCAATTAATTCGTCATTAGCACATGTGTGTGACAGTAGTACTTTATTATTAAATTATGGACTAATTAGGCTTAAAAGATTTGTCTTACAAATTAGTGGCAAACTGTATAATTAATTATTTTTTAATTTATATTTAATACTTATCCTATCATTTGATGTGACAGTGTGTAAAGTTTCGCGCGGGAAACAGGGGCTAAACAAGGCCCGAGACCACTGGGGTAAGCGGAGCCGGGCGGGCAGAGGAAAGGTCAGGTCAGGTGCAGGCTCCGGCCGGCCAGCCATGCCTGATCGCCGAGCGGCGGAACCATTCATTCATGCCCATCCAAAGGCAAACCAAACTTAGTGAGCAGGCATTAAAGGAGGAGAGCGGTAGTAGGCGACGCCGTAGCTTGGCTGGCTCACACATGCAGTACAGTAGTGCACTAGTGCGCGCGCGGTAGGCAGGCTCATGCGACTGCTGGCCCCGGCCACATTTACTCCCGTCTTCATTGGGCCGCGGCTACTGCCATCGCCATCTCGGTATCTCTGGATGGATCTTGTTGCGAAGCATAGGGTGAGCCGAGGAAGAAACAGGCGAGGGGTTACTGGTGGAACGCAACGCAACGCACAGCGGGAACAATGCTTTTTTACTCCTTTGGGAGTGTGCCACAGTACACAGACTGTTCTAGGATGCACTCAGTTTTACTACTACACTGATTAATGCTTTATCTACAGAAGACCCAGTCGAAAAAAAAGGACTACAGAAGACCTCGGCTTCTAAAAAATGTTTTTGATCCTGCAGGAGTACTACTTTGTGAGCTTTCCTCTCATCGACGGTTCGACACAGTGGTACTTACCAGTTACCATACAGAGCAAAACTAATGATAGATTTCCTTTTATTACCTGACCGCTGGGGATATGTTCCAAATTAGCTACGCCCTGTTCGTCTGGGCTTGTTTAGTTTATAAGCCATTGTTAAAAGTACTGTTGGTTGATTTGGTGTGAGAGAAAAATACTGTTCGTTGGCTGATAAGTCATGACTTATAAGCCAAATACGACCAATCAATAGATACTAACAGCTAATTTCTAGCTATCTTATTTTTAACAAGGGCTGTTTGTATCTAACTGCTACTAGATGGTTCGATAGTGATTTGAAATTGTATATGAACTATTAGGGTAAGAGTCGATCACTAGTTCTAAGTCAACCTCTCCAATAGTATTAGCTTTTAGCAATAGCTTATAATATGATTTGACCCACGTGACACATGTATGAGCATAGCTCTTGACGAAGAGCTAGCTTTTCACTATCATATATTAAAATATAAAAAAAATGTTTACAACTAGCTCATGAGTTATTGCGGGTGCATTAGTAATTCTATACCTGCTAATGGAACTAATAGTTAACAGCCCTTCAGCTAATGATTAACAGATTTATTAGCATTGCCACTTTGATACACTAGTACTAATTCTATCTGCTATTTTTTAGCGCTAATAGATAAAACAAGCCTTAAATAAAACCAGTGTGCTTATTTTCAGCACTGTATGTAGGGCACAGGTACGAAACGAGTACGCACTCCTAAAATTTATTACGGAGTAGACTTGCTGAGCAAGGTTGCTAGGTAAAAGTACATGCTTGAAAAAATCATTAATTTACAAGGAATAGGAGTACTAAACATATGCATGAACTCTTTTGATCTGGTCTCAGCTAGCAGATGGAAATTCAATGGCATGGAACCAAACAAGGTGAGTCACTGGGTGTACGTGTATCCATGCCTTTAAATACGAGCAGCTAGGGCCCCTCAGGCATAAATTTTTGCCCAGCTTTAGGCCTTTTACCTGCGCAACATTAACACTCTGTTCGTTCGTTGGTTTCAGCCAGGTCCAACAATGTTTTTTTTTCATAAAAAATCAGCACCAAAGACTCTACCAAACCAACAAGCCCTAAGTCACAACACGCTTTTACTGGGCATAAATTTTTGCTCGGCTCTGGCCCTTTTTTCTCTCTCAAAAACAAAGATACGAAAGCTATTTCTAGCACTGTCTGCTTCAATTTTGCAGGCTCTGGGACAGGAAAATTCTCTAGTTGGTGCAAATTGGACATTTTCCTTAAGAAAAACTGTTAAATCTTACAGTACATGGCCAAATAATAGACGTGGATGCGGTCAATCAATCTATTGTCAATTTATCAGACTCACGCCGTGTTTAGTTCCCACCCTAAATTTCCAAAAAATGCTACAATACTTATCATATCGAATCTTGTGATACGTGCATGGAATATTAAATATAGACGAAAAAAAACTAATTATACAATTTAATTGAAAATCGCGAGACAAACGTTTTAAACCTAATTATTTCATGATTAAACACTAATTGTCAAATAAAAATGAAAGTGCTACGGTAGCCCAAATTCCTAAATTCCCTCGACTAAACACGTGCTCAGACATAGTAATAATAACTGCGGCCGATCCTGGTGCAGAAATATTTACGCTTATTTACTACAGGAGCACAGTGCACTACTTTAAATGAGATCTTATCTTTGCCGGTAAGAGTCGTTTCGAAACAAAGAGAATTATTGGACAAAAATACTAATAAACATAATAACAAGAAATAATTAATAAAGACCAAGGGGTGGGGAAAAGGAAGGAAAACATGCACAAGAGCGGAATGAGAATCCACGCATGCAATGCACCTGAAGAATCTGTTGACGAGGTCGAGCGCGATGAGCGTGGCGCTGCACCCCATGCCCGTGAGGTTGTACACCTTGACGTCCTCGCGGAGGCCGTAGCGGCGCACGACGCGCGCGGACAGCGACGGCGCCGGCGAGAACATGGACACGTTGACCATCAGGACGTCGACGTCGGCGGGGCGGATGCCGACGCCGCCGGGCGCCGCCGACCGGGCGAAGAGCTCGTCGAGGACGGCGTGGAAGGTCTCATCCATCTCCTCCATGCCCTCGCGGAGGCGGTCGGGCCGGGCCTCCCCGCCCTCGATCATGTTGCGCGGGCCGTACGTCTCCTCGCCGATGCCGGAGTTGGCGATCACCTTCAGCAGGAACTTGTACTCCTCCAGCCCCAGCAGCTGGTTCCGCTGGATGATCTCGGCGCACAGGTCCGTCGGCAGCTTCCGGTCGTCCGTCGCCTTGTAGCACACGTAGTCCAGCAGGTAACAACGCCGCCGCTGCTCGCGCGCCACCAGCAGCCGCGCCAGCATCGCCGCCGAGCACGCCAGCAGCGTCAGCGCCAGCAGCGTCACAAGCTCCATCGCCGCCACCCGTGACCCGCCCGCAAGCTAGTAACTCACCAAGCACACACTTGTTGCTCCTGATCTCTCTTGTTCTTGTCAAGAATTCAAGAGATGGAGAGATCTACCTAGCTAGAAGTGCAGCGAGGAAGGCGGCAATGTGCAACGCGTGTGGTTGCTGCTCATGGAGACGGTGCCGACGGAGGAGAGGGGGAACCGAAAGGAGATGTGTGTGACAAACTGACAATGCGAGTGCTTGCTGAGCTAAACGCCCCCAAGCAACCAGCTCTAACAGTGACGAGCTTGGAGAGGTTGGGTTGGTGGGGACTGGGGAGGGATGAGAGGGAGATTTATTAGAGGGTTTAGAGCTAGGTTGGGGAAGGGAGAAGGGAGGAGGGTGCCTTTATAGCACGGAGAAGAGGCGACCACCACCTCATGGGTGGTCATGGGCTCATGGCTCATGAGTCATGACAACATTCCTCTCTCTTTTTTTCTCGAATACGCAAGAGCGTTGCGTATCATTGCATTAAGGAGAAAGAGTGTAAATACAAGGCGCCAACACTAGGCCGGCTAAACACGAAGGTTACATTGAAGATCTCGGTGGATAGCAGGCTACCCTCCCGACGCTAAACTCCTTAAGTTTTTGGCGCCCGCTTGAGCCCAGTAGTCGGCTTCCGCCTTGATGATCATCAGCAGCTCCGGAACCGTGGTCGCGGCCTCCCTGAAACATCGAGCGTTCTGCTCTTTCCAAATTATCCATGAGGTTAGCGCGAGAGGGAATCCATGCCCTTCCTTTGGTTCCCCTGCCAGCTTCCCCTTAGGCGCTTCCACCATCCTAGAACCGAGTTGGCCGTGGGTGGCAGCGGGCGGCCAAGTGTCTGGCATATGTGTACTTCCCTTGCGAATGGGCAGGTGCACAGGATGTGATCAATCGTTTCCGGTGCCTGGTCGCTGAGGTAGCACTCTTCCCTGGCGTCGAGCCCGTGCCTTACACGGCGGTCATTCGTCCAGTGTTGCCTTCGGAACGATAGCCAAAGGAAGATCTTTACCTTCAACGGCGCCCACGTCTTCCAGATCAGGGCGTGTCCACGGAAAGGAATTGATCCAGTGTGTAGCATCTTGTATGCGGACTTGGCGCTAAAGTTGCCATCGGGGGTCCAGCGCCACACCGTCCTATCTTCCTGCTCCCGCAATTTCACTTCTGCCGTGGCTTCCCAAAGGTCTAGGAATTCTGCGATGGCTGCCGTGGACATGCTGGCCGAGATGCCCTGCGTCCACTGCCTGTTGGCGAGCCCCTGGCGCACCGTCATCCTTGATCTAATCCTCCTAGAGACCAGCTGCACTAGGTTGGGAGCAATGTCTGACGGCGCTGTTTGATGGAGCCAACGATCGTCCCAGAACAGCGAGTTGGCGCCGTCCCCATGCTCCGTGTACGCAGACGTTCGGAAGAACGCCTGGACCTCCTTGTCCACGTTGATTGGCAGCTCACTCCAGGCGCGCGCGCTGTCGGTTTTCTGAAGCCACAACCACCTAGTTTGGAGCGCGTACCCCGCGAGCTTGAGGTCTGTGATCCCGAGCCCTCTCATTTCGGTCGGTCTGCAGGCTGTCTTCCATGCCGCCATGCATTTACCGCGCACCGAGGCGTCCTTGCCGACCCGCAAAACTTCCTGCAAATTGTGTCGATCTCCTTTATCGCCCACGGCGGTAGACTGTCTGCCATCATAGAGTAGATCGGCACAACCCGGAGCACTGATTTGATCCACACCAATCTGCCGCTCCTTGCCATTAGCGCGAACCGTGGAGGGTGGTAGCTTACGCGCGACGGCTTTGACGACTGAGTGCACGTGCGCTTTGGCGATCTTCTTGGTGCTCAACGGGAGTCCCAAGTATCTGATTGGGAATTCCTGGACTTGGCAGCCCAGAATAGCCACGATTTCCTCTAGTGCTTCCTCGCCGCCGAAGATAGGAGTGATGGAGCACTTGGACAGGTTTGTCTTTAAGCCTGAAGCCTCACCGAACACTCTGAGAATCTCCTTGACCGCCGATGCCTCCTGAACCGAAGGCCTGATGAACAGGATGACGTCGTCTGCATAAAGGCTGCACTGGAATTTAATCTCCTGGAGCTGAATTGGGCGCAAGACGCCATCTCTGGTGGCCTTGGCGAACATCTGGTGTAGAATGTCCATTGCAATGATTGGTGGCCCTTGGTGCCCGTTGAGGATGATCCTGGATGTCACCGTGGAGAGTAATGCAGAAATCCAACGGCACCATGCCTGGCCGAACCCCCTTGCCCGCAGCAACTCCAACAGGAAGGGCCAAGAAAGGGTGTCAAAAGCTTTAGAGATGTCTAACTTCAGCAGCAGCATGGGCACCCTTTTCTTCCTGATGAGAACGGAGGCACACGCTGAATGTACTTGAAGTTGTCCTGAATAGTTCTGTCGCGGATGAAGGCGTTCTGGTTCTTGTCGATCAGCTTGTCGAGCTTGGGAGCTAGCCTCAGCGCTAGGATCTTGGAGATCAACTTCGCGAAGCTGTGGATCATGGTTATAGGTCGGAAATTAGCTGGACTCGACGCTCCCACCTTCTTGGGCAATAGGACGATCAGCGCGTTGTTGAGCTTCTCCAGCCCTCTGTAGTCCCCATGCGTGAACGCCTGGATCGCGGCCATGACATCTTGCCGGATGATGTTCTAGGATGTTCGATAGAAGGCCCCCGTGAAACCGTCCGGGCCAGGCGCCCTATCAAGCGGCAACTCCTTGATGGCATTCCAAACTTCGTCCGCCTGAATGTCGACATCCAGCTCGACAAGAGGCATTGGTTGGATCCCTAGCGAGGGAAAGTTGATGATTGTAGGACTGCTCATCGCTGTCCCGAACACCCCGTAGAAGTGGTCGTATAGTGGCCAGTGACTGACAGTGAAGGGATGAAATTGCGTCGCTTCCTGCCTCTCGCAATTAGGTGAAAATAAGCTGTGTTGGCGTCCCCCTCTGCCAAATGCCACACCCGTGAACGTTGCCTGGCCGTTGTTCTCTCCAGGGATGATAGGCCCAGGCACCGCACCTTCAACCGTTTCCTAAGCGAGGCTTCCACGTCGGACAGTGGTCGCACGTCTTGCACCATGTCGAGGCGGTGGATGTGTTAGCCCTCACCATCACCGGCTTTGGTGAGTTGACCACTCACCAGCTTTGTCGAGCATCCGTTAGTGTTGTCGTACACCCACTAGCTATGCTGACTATGAGCAAGCATTGTCCGACCACACACTATAGCTAAAGGTTAAAGAAGAGGGAGAACAGAACATACACACAGTACAAGCATCAGCGTTGGATGGAGCCCTATATAGAAGATGACAAATCTGATCTCTCTTTGTTGAGTTGCAATGTCAAACTATATATACAACTCTATCCATCTAGTCCTAGTACAGCTGCCCTGCTGCAACAGTGACTAGATAACACAGCAGGACTGACTTCTGCGCCTGTCCCTACATGTGGCTACAGTACGGCAGGTGAGCCGTTTGACGCCTGCCTCTACAGCGGCTACAGTACCACAGCAGGGAGCCTTTTCGGCGCCACCTTCCCTTGTTGTGTGTTTACACAAGAAAGCAGTAGATTATGTAACAATTCTTCCCCTAATCCTACTACTATCCCTTGTACCCCTCCATGCCGATCATCTTCTTCAGCTCCGTGAGTCGAAGGCGTCCGAGCGGCTTGGTGAGGACGTCCGCGAGTTGCCGACCAGTTTCGACGAACTCGATGACGATTTGCCCTGCATCGACACAGTCCTTGAGAAAGTAGAACTTCACGTCGATGTGTTTGCTCCGGTCGTGCAGAACCAGATTCTTCGCGAGGGCGATGGCGGGATGGTTGTCCACCATCAGTATTGGTGGGTGAGCTTCCACGCCGGTCAGCTCGCCCAGCAGCCGGCGCAGCCACACAACTTGGCACGCCACTGTGGCCGCCGCTACGTACTCTGTCTCGTACGTAGACAACGCCACCACCTTTTGTTTCAGCGATAGCTATGAAATTGGAGCCGACCCGAGGAAGACGAGCACTCCAGAGGTGCTTCATCGTCCGTCGATGTCCCCCGCCATGTCTGCATCGCTGAATACAGTGAGCTACAGCCTACTCCCACCGGTCTTTGGTAATATGATCCCCTGATTCACTGCTCCCTTGACGTAGCACAGTAGCCACTTCACCGTAGCCCAGTGATCATCTCTGGGATCCTCCATGAAGCGACTGACGTAGCCCACAACGAACGCAATGTCCGGCCTCGTGTGGACTAGGTAGCGCAGACCGCTGACGATGCTCCGGTAGAGTGTTGCATCCACCTTCGCCGTGGTGCTGGCCTTCGTCACTTTCAGCCGCTCCTCCATCGGAGTCACACATGGCTTGCACTCAGTCATGTCGCTCCGCTCTAACAGCTTCGAGGCATACACGCTCTGACCGAGTGTGAGTTCCTCCTTCCCCTATCTGACCTCGATGCCGAGGTAGTAGGAGAGTGCGCCGAGATCACTCATTCGAAAACGAGCCCCATCTCGCGCTTGAAGCTGTTGATGTCCTCCGTACGCGCGCCGGTGACGATCAAGTCGTCCACATACACGCCGACGACGAGCTCCTCCTTCCCCCGTCGTCGCGTGTAGAGTGCGTGCTCGGTTGCGCACCGCTAAAACCTAAGCTCGCATAGCTTGGCGTTCCATGTTCGTGGAGCCTACCGCAGCCCGTAGAGCGCCTTGCGCAGTCGGAGCACCCTGTGCTCCTCTCCCTTGATGGCAAAACCTGGAGGTTGCCTGACGAAAACCGTCTCAGCCAGCTCACCGTTGAGAAAGGCCGATTTAACGTCCAAGTGATGGACGCGCCAGTCCTTTGTTGCTGCCAAGGCTAGTAGCAAACGGACAGACTCCATGCGCGCTACTGGCGTAAAGACCTCCTCGAAGTCTATGCCCTCGCGCTGAATAAAGCCTCGGGCGATGAGGCGCGCCTTGTGCTTGACAATGGCGCCAAGCTCGTCCCGCTTGACCTTGTGCACCCACTTCAGGCTGATCGGACGACATCCTAGAGGCGGATCGATGAGCTACCATGTCTCGTTTTCCTCGATCGCCTTCATCTCCTCCAGCATCGCCCGTCGCCAGTTTCCATCGCGCTCGGCCAGCGCAAACGTGGGTGGTTCCTCTGCGCTGACGAGTAGCAGCTCTTGATCATTGAGCAGCCAACCAGCCAAGCCTGAGGGCCCTGTGCCGCCAACGATGTTGTCCAGCCTATGGAACCGCACCTCCTCACCTTCGTGGAAGGCATCCACGAACTCAGTGATATCACTTGGAGGTGAGGCGAACTCGATCAGTGTTGATGGAGTTCCCTGTTCCGCCTGAGTGCTCGGTACAGTACCTAGAGTGCTTGGCCCCCTAGCTGCAGTGTTCGGCACTACTTCTAGACAGCTCGTCACTACTCCTACAGTGCTCGGCACCACTGTAGGAGTACTCAGCCTCAGTCTAGGAGTGGTCGGTACCACTGCAAGACCTCTTGGCTCCACCACGGGAGTGCTCGGCACCCGTCCTAGAGTGGTCGCCACCACTGCAGAACCTCCCGGCACCACTCCTGGCGTGCTCGGCATCCCTCTAGGAGTGCTCAGCACTCCTCCTAGAGTGCTTGACATCCCTCTCGAAGTGCTCAGCACTGCCCTAGGAGTGCTCGGCTCTACCGCTTGTTCGTGGTCGGCACCCCTCCCAGAGTGCTTGGCACCTCTTTCCTAGCATCTCCACCACCGTGGATGATCAGGTGCTCGACGACGAAGGTGCTGGTGAAGCCGCTAGCTTCCCTCGTGCTCAGACTATTCCAGTCCCAAGCCGCCTTCTCATCGAACACGACGTCGCACGAGACAAGCACATTATCTCTACGTGGGTCATAGAGCTGGTACGCCTTGGTACCCTCCGTGTAGCCCAGGAACACCATCGGTGTGCTCCTATCCTCTAGCTTGGTGAGGTTCGACTTGCCTTCCGCACATGGCCGATGTAGCCGAATGTCCGGAGGAAGGACACGCCGGGCTTGCGCCCATACCAAGCTTCGAACGGCGTCTTGCCCATTAGGGCCTTGGTCGAAGCGCGGTTGAGGATGAACACCGCCATGGTCACCGCCTCACCCTAGAATCTTGCCGGCATGCCTTTGGCCTTCATCATGGATCAAGCCATGTCAGCCACCATCTGGTTCCGCCTCTCCACCATGCCATTCCTCCGAGTAGCCCACTACTCTTCTGTCTGCAGCAGTTTACCGCTGTCCTTCGTTGCTGTCACCTGCTCCAGGCGCTCATCCACCGCGCGCATAGATTGCCTATCACATCCTCAATGGTGAGGGTGGACAAGTCCAGCATCGTCTCTATGGAGAGAGCGATCTGGATATACTTTGCCGACACGGAGTGGAGGTACTTGGAGACCGCCTCCTCTTCGTCGATGATGACGCCATGGCTCTTCAGCTTGCTGATGAGCATCTGTAGGCAGAGGGAGAAGTCCTCCACTATTTCACCATCCTTGAACTTGAGGTTGGCGTACTCCTGCTTCAGAAGCTGGGCCGTCGCCTTCTTTGCGCGGTCGGAACCGACACGCATCACCGCAATAGCCTCCCACACCTCCTTAGCAGAGCTCTTCGCCCCCAATGGCTCCCTACACTCCACCAGTACAGCAGCGAGGATAGCATCCAAGGTTGACATGTCATCTTCCTCACTGTCGGTGCCCTTGTCAACAGCATTCCAGAGCCGTCGGGCTCTGAGCTTGACCTTCATGGTCACCGACCACTCTCCATAGTTGGTACGAGTTAGCATCAGCCAACTAGTGCCACTGACCTCCCGCACCTGCGTCAAGAACAACGACCTTCGATGTGTGGTCGGCAGCCACAAGAAGCATCATCGCCGCCCATCTCCGAACCATTCATCATCGCCAGCGGTTAGTGCAGCGACAGTGCTTTTACGGCTCTGATACCACTTGTTAGCCCTCAGGATCACCGGCTCAGGTGAGTTGACCACTCACTAGTCTTGTCGAGCACCCGCTAGTGTTGCCATGCACCCACTAGCTATGCCAGCCATGAACAAGCGTTGTCCGACCACACACACTATGACTAGAGGTTGAAGAAGAGGGAGAATAGAGCATACACACACAGTATAAGCACCAGCATTGGCCGGAGCCCTGTATAGGAGATGGCAAATC